AAAGGGAAAGGACAAGCACTTTGTATAGAATATACAGACACAGCATCTCACCATGGGCCCACAAGAGGGGCAGGGAAACAACTTATATTTACTAATTAGAATAGCTATTTCCAGGTGTGGTGGCATATGACTATAATCCCAGTGACTCAGGAGACTGAGGCAGGAGGATGGCAAGTTCAAGGCCAGCCTCAGAAACTTTTGGGGCTGGAGACTGTCTCAAAGTAAAAAAAGGCTGGGGATGTAGCTCCGTGTGTGAAGACCTGATTCACTCCCTAGCACTAAAGAGAAAAAAATTTTAAAAATTATTGTCATCCTTGAGACCATATAAAGAACCCCTACCCGATCTAGACCATATAAAGAACCCCCTATCCCACCTGACCACACCTGGGGAAAATGTTACCGTTGTGTGTGACAGTTAGAGAACTCCTGGTTTCCAGTGTGTCCTGTTCTGGGTGACCGGAGCCTCCCTCTACTACTATTCCTGGAACCTCCCAGTGCTGTACTGAGAATTATAGGCACATACAGCTTGGCAAGCAACCCATTCTCAGGAAATGCAAGCGCTTCTTCCCAGCCACGTGAGACAAGCACAATGTGATCAGAGCATTTGTGGTATGCGTGCAGAGGTGACATAGAATATCAGACCAGGAGAGACAGGGTTTTGGAGACTGGAAAGGAAGATTCAGTACAGGAACTGCACAGACTATTTCCATCAGAAGAGAACAGAGTCCCATCCTTGATGCCTACCTGTGGAGACTTGCCTAGCCCAACATCCTACCCAATTCCTGGAGTGTCCAGAAGCTACCCTCCCCCCTAACCTACTTTCCCTCAGCAGAGTTATGGGTTGTCTTGGGAAAGGATAGGAAAAGAGAAAAAACAGAGAGGGAGTGGAGAGAGACAGGCTTTCCAGACCCAGGCCCACCCAAATGGGAAGCTACAGCCCTCTTGCTTCCTGTTCTGCTTTAGACCAAGCCCATGGGGTACACAGAGGGGTAGGCACTTTTCAGTCACCCCATAGATATCTCAACAATCAGGGTTCACGAGCAAAGGACTGAACTAGAAGGACAGCTAGAGGATGAAAGTAAAGGATTCTTCCTCCTTTAGGCAAGTCACTTCCCCTCTTTGGGGCCTCCTTTCCCCATCTAGAAAGTAGAACAGTGAGTCATTCTCTCAACAAATTCTTCTTGAGTACAGACCATGTGCTGGATGCTGCAGGGAATAAGACAGAAGAGGCCTCTGCTCTGAGGAGCTTACATTCTGGAAATAGACAATAAACAAACAAACAAGAACATTTCCTAAGTGCTGTAATGAAAACGAAGCAAGTCAATATGATAGAAAGTAAATGTGAACCAAGTGCCTTTTTAGGCTCCTGTCCTAATGGTCACTTGCTAGAGTTTTATACCTAAAAGACAAGCCAGGCAGCCTCCTTGCCCTGATGTGTCTTATAAGAGCCTTTGTCCCGAGTTTCATTCTACACTACCACTGATATTCCTAATCTAGGATGACAAATACTTTCAGATTCTCTGCCTCAATCCCATCCACTGAACAAGACTCAGCCCAGGCCAACATCATAGGCACAGGCCTGCTATTCACTTGCTCACAGTAGAAGACATGTTACACTAATATCAATTGAACAATAAGATTTGGAAAAAGGGGTTGAGATGTAGCTCAGTGGTAGAGCATTTGCCTTGTGTGAGGCTCTGGGTTTCATCTACAAAATACATAAATATACAAACAAAAATCAGAATGAGAACTTTCCATTTTTCAGATTTTTCTCTTCTCTCTTTTGCAGTATCCAGAGTCTCATGCATGCTAGGCAAACACTCTACCACTGAGCTAAAGTCCACCCTCCAGTTCTGATTTTTAAATATCACTACAGGTGCATGCATTGGTCAAAAAATTACCAAATGTACACAATGTCTGTATATTGCATTGTATAAGATTTTRCCTAAAAGACAAAAGGTACAAATAATGAATTCCAGTTAATGAAATGAATTCTGAAGTCATTAAGGAGTGGTATACTGATTCTGCAACTTACTTTGAAATGCATCAAAAATAAGATGGATTAATTTAGTATAATGTGTGATTAATTGAGTATATTAAAATGTCAATGGAGAATCAAAGCAGCAGTTATGCAGGTGTTTGCTGTAAAAATTCTATTTATTAGGTGGGCATGGTGGTGCATACCTGTAATCCCAGCAACTTGGGAGGCTGAAGCAGGAGGCAACTTAGCAGGACCCTGTCTCAAAATAAAATATTTGAAAAAGATATTTGGGTTGTAGCTCAGCAGAACATTTCTGGGTTCTGCTGAAAAAGAAATGTATGTTTTTTTAAAAAAGGTGAAAGTTTTTACAATAAAAAGTTGGAAAGAAAATTAGATATTAACTTTACAAAAAAAAGTTTAAAAACTGCCTTTGATTTTCAAACAACTCTCTCCATAGACAATTCCAATATTTCTCCACATTAACACACATTTTTAATGAGGTTGTAATCTGTATACATTTGTCATTGTTATTAAAAAGTATTTCTCACATGTTTTTAAAACTTCATGACAGCCGTACAGTGTTTAATGTTTGTAGAAGAAACAGGTGGTATGTTGCTTTGGGGTTGCAGATTTTTTATTGTGTACATTCTAAAAGCACTGGCCAAGTCTCCCCTCTGACTGGGCTATTGGGTAGCAATTCTTTTTCACTGAGAACTAGAAAAGTTGGAAAACATTTTTATCTATCTATATCTATCTATCTATCTATTTTCTGCACTGGAGATGGAACTCAGGGGTATTTAACCACATCCCCAGTCCTTTTTTGCATTTTTTTTCTTTTTTTTTTTTTTTTTAGAAACAGGGTCTCACTGAGTTGGTTAGGGCCTCATTAAGTTGCTGAAGCTGGCTCAAAAAAATCACAATCCTCCTGCCTCGGACTCCTGAACTGCTGATTACAGGCATGCATGGTGATGCATGACGAGAAAAACATTTTAAAACTTATCAGGGCAGTGAGAAATTGTGGAGCCAAGACTGGGGAGGAAAACAGCCTAGAATAATCCCAGTATTGGGGAATCCTTTCTTTTCCTTGGAGGTGTCCACTAGTTTCAAAGGGAAAAATGAAAGGCTGTGCCAGACTGTGATTCCAAAAACTGGCCATATTTCCAGTACCTTGCTATTCCCCTGTCAAGAGGTGGAGGCTATTTCACCTTGAAACTGGTGAGGTAAGTTTATGAGACCGCCTTGACAAACAGAATGTGGCACATTTGACACCATGGGACTTCCAAAGCTAGGTCAGGAAAGGCAGAACAGATTCCGCTTGGCTCCTTCTTGGGATGCCTGCTTTTGGAACCCAGCTTGTCCTATGACCGACGTTGTGATGCTGTGAGGTACCCTGGGTTGTATAAATGTTCTGGTTCACAACCCTAAGGTCCTAGTTAACAACCAGCTTCAACCAGACATGTGGGAAAGCAAGCCCCCGGGTGATTTCAGTACCCAGCTGTCAAGTTACCGCCTGCCTTTTGAGTCTTCCAGTTGATGTCCAGATACTGTGGAGCAGACACAAACCATCCTGTTCAATTCTTTTTTTTTCCCCAGTGCTGGCACATGCTGGGTGAGCATTCTAACAGAGCTAYAGACCCAGCCACTATCTGAATTCTTGACCACATATAAGTAGTGAATATAATAAATGATTATTTTAGAATTTGAGCTATACCCCYTTGGAGGATTTTCACAAACTTACATTTACAAATCAGATGGGGAAAAAGAAAAGGACATACCTTACCAGGTCCCAAGTCTCCCCTTCTTTTTAAAAAAATATCTTTTAGATGTATAGACCTTTATTTTTATTCACTTACTTATATATGTGGTGCTGAGAATCGAACCCAGTGCTTCACACATGCTAGGCAAGCCCTCTACCACTGAGCCACAGCCTCAGCCCCTCCCCCTCTTTTTTGAAGTGTGGTTATGCTTAGTAGTATGGGGGGGGGTAAGGTTTGAAGCTCTAATGAGAGCTGGGCTTTGGTTTTCCCCTTTGTCCTCCTGCTAAACAAAAGAGAGCAATACAAAGAAAATGGTATGCCCTGGGTAATGGATGGAAGAGACACAGTGCATTAGAGTACAGACTGAAGGCTGGAGACAAAGAGCAGAGGGCCAAGAAGACTCCCTACGGATTGGAGGTGAGGTCTCCCCTGGGTGCGGGTGAGGTAAGGCCAAGGAGTCTCTAGTTCACGGTTCTTTTTTTTTTTTTTTTAAAGAGAGAGTGAGAGAGGAGAGAGAGAGAGAGAGAGAATTTTTTAATATTTATTTTTTAGTTCTTGGCGGACACAACATCTTTGTTGGTATGTGGTGCTGAGGATCGAACCCGGGCCGCACGCATGCCAGGCGAGCGCGCTACCGCTGAGCCACATCTCCAGCCCATAGTTCACGGTTCTTAGGCAGAATTGAAATGTTCTAGCTTCCTTTCCTCTTCAACCCAGACACCACTCAGGAATTGCCACCACTATTCAGTAAGCAGGGCTCTCTAAGGCCTCTCCTAAATCCTGTGGCCTCTCCTCAGGGTTCCCTGATCACAGAGGGCCTGATTCCCATTCCAGCTTGAAGTCAATCTGGGTTTCAAATCCTTGTTTTGCTACGCATTTGCTATTAGCAACCTCCCTGGTCCTCAATTTCCTCTTATGTTAGAGGGGTGATGTTATCTATCTCACAAGACTGTCATGAGAAACAAATGAAATAATAATGGCACAATGTTTAACATGGTTCTCCTGAGTGTGTGCACAAGCACATAGTGTTTTTCAGTGTGATTCTTGCTGAGTTTTGTGCTATTTATCCCCATAATCTTCCTTAGGTCTGTGAGCCTGATAGAACTTTCCTTGATAACTATATGGAAATAGACGGGGCCCTCTTGTAAAACCCTACCTCCAAAGCTAACACCATCGAATGCATGGAGTTCTGCTACAATGTCTAGATGGTTCTGCCTCAGATTTGCTTTTCTTAGGCTGGACTGTATAAGACAAGCATTCTRAAGTGTCCCATCTTTATTTACAATGAGAGTCCCCTCCTCTCCGGCCCCTTCCTCAGCTTTGCTCTGGGGAAGGAGCTGGATAAAGTACTTCTTCTGCCAAGACCAGGGTCTAGGGGAAGAACCCCCTGAAGGGAGTATTCCTCACTTCTTCTGGGCTTGTGCTCTGGCTCGTTGAATCTTGTCAGCTGTGGCTCCATCTGTGGCTCCAGTGCAGTGGGACAATACAAGGCTCAGCTCAGCCTCGTTCCGGTGCTCGATGGCCACATCTGCAGCCTGAGCCACATCCCTATGGTTGGAGCAGAAGGGGAGATGGTATTGGGACTGCCCAAGGGCACCAACCCTGCCTCTTCTCAGCCACCTCACACCCACAGGGCCCTGATTCAACGCACCCAACGAGAAGCAAAGCCTTGACCTTTTGCTCAGGACCCACTCGGGAAGCGTACTTCTTGGCCTCATATTTGTTGTGTTGTTTCATGCAGATTTCCACAAAGGGCTTCACAGGAGAGGGAAGGGGTTGAGAGGTAAGACAAAGGATAGCCTGTGTTCTCTTCTGAGCAAAGCCCAATGGATACACTGTCCATATGTATTTTATATATCAGTCCCAACAATGGCAAGACAGTTGTGATCTCAACATGCTTGGGGCAGAAAAAAACCTAAACCAAAGGCCTGTTAGAATCTTGAAATCTATTATTTTCGTGCTCCTCCTCCACCATCCACCACTACCCACTTGACAACAGGCATTTGCTGTCACTTTCCCTCTCAGGTCTTCTTTTCTCTCATGGTTGCCATTATCAAATTTGCCCGCCACACCTTTGAACCCCTGCCACAGGAAACAAAACCCCGTGACGTGATATCTTCCCCTACCTAATAGGTGCACCTTTTCAGACTCCCGTTTCCCCAACTCAAGCAAGAAAGCCCAGGCACATGTTGTTCCTGCTGGCTCTTTGGGGGAAAGCGGCTCACTTTACACCTCCCTTTGCAGACAGACTCCAGCCCATCCTCCAGTGCACTCAACACTGTGGATGCTATCTGCCCACACATGGGCTAATACATGGGCAGCAGAACAGGTGCCTGAATAAATCATCCTATCTGTCTCCCTGCCCAGGACTACCCTCGCTACTGGGGGGCTGGAAGGAGTACCCCTGACTTACCAGGTAACCGATGGGTGATTTCTTGCTCTTAGAAAACTTTTCCAGTTCCTCCCAGTCTTCCAAATCTGCCAGGGCAGTCAGCTTTAGCCACCAAAGCCTGCGGAAAGCTGGGCTTAGAGGTTTTGCAGAAAAGGCAGGTTGTCCACGTGCTGCCCAAGAGGTCTCTATATACCTCTTGTCAGGGATGCGGAAATCACGGGCCAGTTGTTCTGCACGTTTGTTATGGCCGTTGAGGATGAGGGTGGTGACCGTGTCATGTAGAGACAGGTCTAGAAACTGGCCCCCCAACTCATCTTCTAGGCGCCTCTGTAGCCGTAGGAGCCGCATTTGATCCTCTGTAGCCTGGGGACCAGGATGAGGCAGGTCGGGGATGAGAGAGACAAGAGCAAGACGGGAAGCCAGGCAGCTCTTAGAAAAGGGTAAGCCAAACCTTGGCTGCAAACTCATTCTTGGCCTTGTAAAAGGCATCAGCTGCTGTCTGCAGAGCTGCTACGCGTCCCTCAATACGCTACAAAGACAAAGGGAGACTGAGTTCACAATGCAAAGGACCTTGGCCCTCCCCACCCAGGTGACAGCTCCCTAGTCCCTGTGCCCAGGGTCACCAAGGTCAGCCTTACCCACTAGGGGCACCACTCTGGTGTCCTAGAGGGATGACTAGCTCCTTTGGAACCAGCCCCCATTCTGGCCACACCTTTTCTCAAACTCTCCCTTCAACAGTGAGGATGTTGGATGGAGTGTGAACCGAATGCTAAAGCCTACATTTCCGGAAAAGGCACCAGACTAATAGCCCCAGCTCATGGGCTCCACCCACTCCATGGACCTCAGACCTCTCCTGTAGCATAGCTGGCTTGAATGTGGAAGCTGCCCAGCTCCTGGTGATTGTCATCTTGATTGTAAAGGTCCTTCAGTGTCTCTAGCTCCTGATGCTTACAGAACTGGGCAGAGGGCAGGCCATCAGTCAGCAATGCCAACTCAAGGGCTTAGGCAGCTCCATCCTGCTACCTGCCCACCACACACACCTGTCGATATAAACTCAGGGCCATGGGCTGGTTCCGGAGGGTCATGAAAAAGTCTCCTCGGTTCAGCTCGTTCTTCAGGTGCAGCAATACTGTGAACACTGTAGGAATAATAAGATAGGCTGGGAACTCTACCCTTGGCCCTCCTCAGCCCAGATGACCCAGTTTGCTTCTCATCCAAACCCTGCTCACCCAGGTCAGTGTCCCCACTCTCGATGGCCTTGCTCAGTGCTAGTTTGCTCCTCTTCATCTTTAGGAGAAGGGGCACTTGCTCCCCTGAGCGTGGCTCATATTCCAGCAGCTGCAGGGTGGGGAGGAAGGCAGAGAAGAGCTGGCACAGGGGCCTTGAACATTCATATCACAGAATCTGGAGAGGGCTGGGCACCCACACCTTGATGGCCAGCTCTGTGCGGCCACAGCCATAGGCCCGCGCAGCAATGTCAGAGTATGAGACACCAGGCGTGTCCCCCAGCTTCTGATTAATGGCCCGTGCAACATCCTCATCTGATACATCTTTCTGCTGCACCTGCAAGGTGTATGGGGGAGGGTGTCATACACATCTATATGTCACTCCTTATCTCCCAGCTCCACAGGGCCCTGATCAGACCCTTACCCGCTCATTCCACATTTTTCACCAGGGCCTGAAATCACCTAAATGCCCTTGGGTCCCACATCCTTGCCTTGTAGCAGGCCCAGTGGGCCAGGATCCTGCTGACGCCCTGTACTTCTGGAAGACGCAGGTACTCACATATCTGGATGGCCAGGGGATATAGCCTCCGCAATACAAGCCTGGCAGAGAAGGAGGGTGAGAGAGCACAAGGGACAAGGTAGGGCAGAGAAAGGGGGCAGAGAAGCCCCAGCCTGTGCCTCAGGCCTCCAAAATCTTAAGATGTGTCAAATACAATGACCATAAGACTCTACCCAAGGCCATAATGCCCCCCCACTTACAGCCCTCCTATAGCACCCCTGGGCTTTCTATACCTGTCCAGGAGCACCTGGATGGTGAGCTGCTTATATCTGTATTTTCCTTGGTTAAGGATCCAGATGGGGATAAGTCCTGTTTGCCAAGTACCTGCAGACCACATCTCCAGCCCCTTCCCCAGTCACCCCCCAGCTATAAATACCCTCCCTCCATGCTTGAGGATACTGGCTATAGGTGAGGGGAATCCCAATGTGGTAGTCCCGGACAGCATTGAGCACACGCAGGTCCTGACACATGTGCACGAAACTATCAGGTGGAAATCTGTCAAGGAAACACTTCCCAAACGAAGCTGCCTGAGAAGAGCCAGAGGGCAATGGAAGAAAGCTTTCTCTACTGCAAAAACCAGTTCACCTCCTTCCCAGCATCCCCTCATTCCCAGAACCCTCTCCAGCCCAACCCTGAGCAGACGCTTCTGCATGTCTGGTCGGTGTTCGTGTCCTGCAGCCTCAATGCATTGCTGCACGGCCTGAGTCAGCTGCCCCAGCTCCTGGATTTCTCGTAGGTACTCATCTGCTTTCTGGCTTTCTTTCTGCAGGGAGAGGTTCGGTGATGGAGCAAAATGACAGAGAACACCCCACATTGGCCTTTAGCCCCTCTGGACTATAGTTCAAATGGGCTGGTTTAGAGGGCCTGCATAGGCTGGAGCCTGAACTCTCTCACTCTGTTCAGTATACCTGAGATCATCCCATGTTGGCTCACAGTTGCCTCTGGGAGGCCTTGACAACTTCTAACAGTAGTGCTGACTTATGCCTAGCTGGAGATAGCAAGGACACCCTATCCTTCTCCTTTACCATGTGGAGAAACACCCATGTTACTTGAATTCCCGAGCAGTCCACCAGTGTTCTCCCTGAAGCCCTCTTTTTATTTGTCCTCGGCACTGAGGATTGAACCCAGGAATACTTAACCACTGAGCCACATCCCTAGCCCTATTCTTTAAAATATTATTTTAAATTTTATTTTGAGACAGGGTCTCACCTAAGTTGCTTAGGCCTACCTAGGTTGCTGAGGCTGGCTTTGAACTTGTAATCCTCCTGTTTCAGCCTCCTGAGCTGTTGATACAGGCATCTGAAACCCTCTCTTGATAGGTGGCACCTGGCTGTGCCCACACATGCCCATACAGGGGCAGAAGGCTGGACCAGTCAGGGGGCAGGAAGAAGGGACTTCTTCCCATCTTAGGGCCTGGGAAGAAGTCCACAGATTTACCTCATACTCCTTCTGGGCCTCCAACAGTAGTGCTCCGGGGGCCATCGAGGCAATTTTGAAGATCTCCTCACTGGCCACTGGGGGAGGGAGTCGGTGAGTGCAGATGGGGTAAGAAAACCTTCAGTCTTGCCTCAATACCCAGATCCTCCTTTGGGCCACTGGCCTAGGGTAACTGGGATGTTGAGGAGCCTCTGCCCCGGGTTACCTGATACCCTTGTGGAGACCTCACCTGGAACCTCATGTAGAAACTCATGGGTGCTGCGGGAGAAGATGCGGACCCCATCAAGTTCAGGTACCAGGTAGGAATCCTCATCAAGCACAAACCTGAGCTTGGTTAAGGTTTCCAAGAGTGTCTCTAAAGTTAGGGTGGGATCAGTGACCTCCCTCCCCCCCTCCCACACCACAAGGCAGCCCTTTAAGGATACTGAATGCTCTCAGGTGCATCGCCCACCACCATTAGCAGCCTCTCCCAGGCCACCACGACAGCCCTTTCCTTGCTGCGAGGACGACTGCACCTATTGACAGCACCATACACACAAATCTGGGACACTTCCAGGACAGCAGACCCACAGCCAAGTCTCCCACATCACTGCTGCATCCCTTTGCCCTGGTTCAGCCCTGCACAAGACTGTGCCCTTATTCTATTCTTTTGGCCACAGGATGACCTGTCTGCTTCCCTCTCACCCCTGTATCAACAGCTCCCCATGGCAGCTGAAGCCCACCAGGACAATGGTTCCTTCAAGTGTTCACTGGCCAAATAGAAGATCCAAGCTCTACTTGGTTTGGCCAGTAGACAGGATGGTTCAAGGTGTCCCCAGAAACATGTTTCACTCCCATCCCCAAATAACACCCCTATTCTTACCAGACCATCTGCTTCGGGGGTGCCCGAATGTTGCAGTTGAATTCACATAGCTTCTCCTGAAAGGGTGCAGGGATGTCATGGCCCTATCCCAGCAGTCACCAGTCTGATTGAAAAGTCCCACCCCTACCCCGCAACAGATTTTCATTGGACAAGTATAGTATCCCCTGTTATTCTAGGATCACACCTTGAGTGATGCTGTCCCCATCCAGATATAGCCTGTGTCTGTGAAGAGCGCCAGGTGCCGGTAGGTGAAGGAGACAGCCATCTGCAGGAAGCTGCTCACTCCTGGGGCCAGGCCAGGAGGCGTCTGGGGCAGGGCGGAGTAGAATACCAGATGGACACTTCTCAGAGCCTTCCCACTGCCTCCCTCGCCCCTCCATTTCATTCTCACTCAGGCACTCACCACTGCAGAGCAGGTTGCATGGTCCAGGAGGTAAAGATCAGGCCCCACAGCCAGGAGAATGTGTGCTACTCGGTCCTGGCAGAGTGTGGTCCAGCATGAGGGTGCACTTTGTAGACCTGCAACCAGGGAAGGGGACAACCTCATGATGAATAGAGCCCTCAGCTGGTCCCACAGTCTGGAGGCACATCTGTGGCGCTAAAGAGCTATCTCAGGGCTTACCTGGTACCTCTGGCATCCGGCGGAGTTTGAGATCGCCCACAYTGGCACTGAGGGTAAAACGATGGGCCCCCGTGAGGATGGCCACCCCAGAACCAAATTCAGTGTGAAAGATCCGGGCATCCAGAACCCGGTTCTGGAGCACCTCCTAGGGAGAAGGACCATGGGTTGAGGGAACCACAGGGTCATAAACCCCATCCTATTTCCCAGCCCCCTGTGGCCCCTTACATTGCCCATGCTGAAGTGTCTTCGGAAGTCACCATGAAGCCCATAAACCAGCACTGCACCRTCTTCCTGCACACAAAGCAACTCCTCCTCAGCTGACCAGCCCAGGGACACCACAGGTCCACTCTTCCACTGCAAAGAGAGACTCCTGAGGCTATCCTTGGAATAAGGAAGCCCTACCCAGCCCACAGACCAGGGACAGTCTGGAATGCTCACCAGTAGGCTGGCTAGAGGCATACCAGAAGCAGAGTAAATCTCAAGTACTGGTCGCACGCTGGCAGCTTTCTCCTTCCTCCAGGGGTTCCTCAGCAGCGCTGTGGTTTGAAAAGAGATTTCTGTCCTAGACTCTCAGGCTCCATGCAGGCCTCATGGACCAGGGTCTCAGGCCTACCCATGAGGCAGACCTTAGGAGAACCAAAACTAAAAGCATTTTATCAGAGTGAGTTGGCAAAGAACCACCTGACAGCAAGGCCCTCAGGAATCAAGTTCATTCCAGGATCCCAGAGCACGCAATAGGGGAAGGACAACTTACCAATGGGGCCCCCATAGGGTGCAGCAGCCACCAGGCAGTCCCTGAGTTCCTCTTTCAGGTCCCAGTCCATGCTGTACAGTTCATATTTCCTGTCCACAGAGATGAGCAGATATTAACTTCCTCACGACCCTGCATCTGGATAGAATAAGCCCTAGAGGAACCCTTAAAGCCCCCATTTGTCCTTCATGGGGAAGGAGAGTCCCCTCACAAAGTAGAGGCAGAGAGATGAATAACGACTAAAAATTCACTACATGCCTGCCTAGGAACAACAGAGGAGGGAGGAGAGGGTATTGAAAAGGAAGGATGTGACTTTGGGGGCTAGTATCCATGATTGGTAAGAGCTCCTGAGGCAGGTTTCATGGCTAATATCCAAGGCACAAACTGAGACAGGACTAGGGTGAGGTGGGAAATAAGACCCTCAGAGAAAGTCTCTCAGGGGAAGGAATCTTTATTCTATTTCTGGTTCTTAACAATGAATCAGGGTCCAGCTATGCTGAGTGATGATGAACTGTTCCGGAGCATCAAAGAAATCCAAGGGGAGCTCTTCAGTGAGATTGGGCTGGTGAGAGGGTTCTGGATTGATGGCAATTTGTGAATGCTTGGCTTATTGAAGGTAAGAAAATCATGAGCAGGCATGAGATGACTGCAATCTGAGATGTGCATGGATCACCAAGTATGTGTCAAATAAGTTGGAGTAGGTAACTTGAAGTATGCCATTGATATTTGGAGGTAGGTAAAAGGGGAAAGCCAAAGGACAAAGAAAGAATGGGCACTATTCCAGGATGTCAAGAGAGACAGTATTTAAGGAGGGCATTTTGGCTAGTATCATTTCAGCAGCCTTCCCATTAATGATAAGGAAGATGCTCACCATTACCTACCATTTGACATATATCTTTGAGTTCCAAACAAAATAATTAAGAAAAAAAATGGGTAGAGCAAGATTATTACTATAGGTTGAGTGCCCATAATCCAAAATGCTTTAAAATCTGGAACATTCTGAGCATTGTTTCAGATTTTGGAGCATTGRGGGTTTCTGGATTTCCAGATTAGGGGCTCAACTGTTATATCCATGCAAATATGCTAAGATCCAAAGAACTCTGAAATCTGAAATGCCTCTTTCCCAAACTTTGGATAAGAATACTCAACCTGTATTYGCACGTAATATGACAATCTACTTTAAAAGTCCAAAACAGCCTATGGAACATAAGATAGCTTAACAGGGTGATCAACAAAAATCAATCCATTTTCTAGAGAAAGACATTTTTTATCCCATAGCAAGACTCATTTGAAATGTAACATTTGAAGGTGGGAATGTGGCTCAGTGGTGGAGTGCTTGCCTCATATGTGCGAGGCCTGGATTCTCTCTCTCACTACAGAAGAGAAAGAGAAAGACAGAGAAATATAACTTTTAAAAATCATAGAAATACAATTTCAAGATACCCAAGAATAAAACTAAAGAAAATTTTTGCAAAATCACACAGAAGTTTCCTCAAAGGTATAAAAGACATGGAGAAATTTTCCAAAATGTTTTATAAATGCATAGGAATTCTGATAAAATCCTTCCTCACAATTTTTTTTTTTTTTTTTTTTTGGTGTGGAAGATGCATAAACTGGTTCTAAAGTTCATGATGTGGAGGATCATCTGAAGGAGAAAATACCAGAAAATATTTTAAAACATTTTGAAAATATGAGAACAGATACACACCAAATATCAAACACACTATATAAACTGAAGTTAATTAAAACTATTGTTTAGGATCCTTTCTAGTTCATAAGCATGGTTGTTCATGCCACTACGTGAGATATAGCTCCCTCTAAACTTGTTGCAACATGGCACATTTCCCACCTGATGTGAAAAAAAAAAGAAAAAAAAAACTATTGTTTTGGCATAGGAAAAAATAAATAGATCAAATGTAAGAGAGCAGAATCCAGAAAAGAACCTGGAAATTGAGCATATAAAAAAGATAGCATTTCAAAATGGTACAAATTGATATTTGAAATGAGACCATATGGGAAGATCCTCAAAAATGTTATTTCGTTACTTAATTTTTACGATAATATATCTTCCAGATGGATTTCAAGATTTAAATGTTAAAAAAAATGCCATATAAGAAAAAAAGATCTTCAATATTTGTACTATCTCAAAGTAGCAATAATTTATTTTTTATTTAGTGCTGGGGATTGAACCCAGGTTACTTTACCCCTGAGCTACATCCCCAGCCCTTCTCTATTTTTTATTTTTGAGATAGTGTCTCACTAAGTTGTCCAGTCTGGCCTCAAACTTGCCATCGTCCTGCCTCAGCCTCCAGAGTTGCTGGGGTTGCAGGCATGTGCCACCATAGCAATTTCTAAGCAATGATATAAAATCTACAAGTCACAAAGAAAAATTTTTAAAAATGGGTTAAAATTAAAATTTAAAAAGTAAAAATAATATACATTCATTTGCTTCTAAGAAATGGTGGAAAGACAACAATCTCTTATGAATGGTTACTTGTAGGTGAGAGGAAGAATTGTTAAATAAGGCCAGGGATAGTAATAGAACTTTGATTTATTTTGAAAAAACCACAATAACAAGAGTGACTGCCTAGCATGCTCGAGGTCCCAGGTTCCATCCTCAGCAACCCCCTACCAAGAGTCACATTAACAGTTATTTATTAAATAATTAACATTAGAAAAACTTTTATACATTTTTTTAAAACAAAGTAGAAAGACATATTTCAAGAGGAAAAAAATGTGTATGATACAATGGAAAAAGGAATAATCTTCTCAAAAGGCTTCAGTTAATTTTTAAAAATAAAAATTATACTAAAAGAAAAATGGTCAGGAGTTCTATCATACTGCTTTATATGAAAATATTTAAAACATAAAAGGTTTAGAGGTGTAGCTCAGTGGTAGGTGCTTACCTAGTATGCATAAGGCTGAGTTTGATCCCCAACACCATAAAATCAACACACAAACAATTTAACTAAAAATAAAAACTGAACATAAGAAATTTGAAAAAATCTAGGCTGATACTTTTATAATGTTTAGCTATGGAAAGGTCTTTCAGAATAAGACACAACTCAGAAACTATCAAGAATGACAGATTTATGACATAAAAATTTTAAATTTGTATATTAAAATTTAGTACATGGGCCAGGGCTTAAAGGTAGAGMACTCACTCGCCTTGCATGTGCCAGACCCTGGGTTCAATCCTCAGCACCACATAAAAAATAAATAAGTGAAATTTTTAAAAAAAGTTTAGTACATAAAATAAAAGCCTAGTGACCACTATGAAAAGATGTGTAAGTTTTATAACAAAGGATTAGTATGAAGAAAAGAGGCCTCCTTTACAAATCAATAGAAAAAGAAACAACACACTAAAGAAATGGTCAAAGGATATGAAGACATATCTAATTACTAGGTAAAGAATTTTTTAAGTTTTCACTTTTTAAAAAAAAAAATTTAAGAGAGAGAGAGAATTTTTTAATATTTATTTATTTTTTTTTAGTTTTCGGGAGACACAACATCTTTGTTGGTATGTGGTGCTGAGGATCGAACCCGGGCGGCACACATGCCAGGTGAGCGCGCTACCGCTTGAGCCACATCCCCAGCCCTTAAAAATTTTTTTAACCTTTATTTTATTTATTTATCTTATGTGGTGCTGAGGCTTGAACTCAGTGCCTCACAAGTGCTAGGCGAGCACTCTACCACTGAGCCACGACCCCAGGCCCAAGTTTTCATTTTTTTTTTAATAGTTGTAGATGGACAGCATGCCTTTATTTTCTTTGTTTATTTTTATATGGCGCTAAGGATTGAACCCAGTGCCTCACACATGCTAGGYTAATGCTCTGCCACTGAGCTACAGACCCAGTCTTTTTACTTTTTATTTACTCTTTTTTTTCTTCTTTCTTTGCAGTACTGGGGATTGGACCCAGGATTGCTTTACCAATGAGCTACATCCACAGCTCTTTTTATTTTGAGACAGTGTCTCAGGAAATTGCCCAAGCTGYGCTCAAACCTGCCATCCTCCTGCCTCAGTCTCCAAGTAGCTGGGATTACAGGTGTGCTCCAAACTATTTTATGTTTTGGTCATCTGATTGGAAAAAAAAAAAAAAAGAAACAAATAAAAAAATCTAGTACTGCTGAAGATGTGGGAAATGAACACTCAAGTATAAATGGATTGGCTCTTACAGAAGAAAATGAAGTGCTATCTATTTGACTTTTAAAATGCAAATACCCTTTGACTTAGCCTAAACCTTGCAAACGCTCTTTAAAAATTCATCAAAATGGGGCCGGGGTTGTGGCTCAGTGGTAGAGTGCTTGCCTCACATGTGTGAAGCACTGGGTTCAATTCTCAGCACTGCATATAAATAAATGAATAAAATAAAGGTCCATCAACACTAAAAAATATTTTTTTAAAAGTTCATCAAAATTGGACTAGTTAAATAAACAATAATAAGCCCACCCATTCTGGAGAATGCTATGTAGCCATCATTAAGGTGACCTGTCATTAGTGATGTGAACTTATCTCTGAGATACAGTGGTAAGTAAAACGAGTAAGCTAACCATATAAGCCATATAAGCTCAATGTTGACCATATAAGCCCATTTATGTAATAAAAAACTGAGCATGTATTTTTGCCAAACACATAAACATGTTTGTGTACAAATATACAGAAAAATGCTCAAAGGCTTCCAAACAAAGCCAGAAAAAGCAGTTATTTCTAGGAAAGGTGGTAAACGGAGTGACATATAGAAGGAATGTTTATTTTTGTACTAAATATTTTATTAATTTCTGAAATATTGAATTTTATAACCCATATGCATTTCTTTTGACATTTTGTTACTAAAATCATTGGGTGTGGGGCTGGGGCTATGCTCAGTGGTAGTGTGAGGCACTGGGTTTGCTTCTCAGCACCGMGTATARATAAATAAAAAATAAAGGTCTATCAACAACTAAAAAAAATTTTTTTAAATCATTGGGTGAAAAGTCTGATAAAAATATATATTTACATAAAGCTATCATGCCAGTTATCAATTGATTGCCTTTCAGTTCCAAATTCACCCTTCATAATGGGCAGCACTCTTTCAAAATTTTCAACCATACA